AATTAAAAGAATAATTTTAAATAAAGCTCTTGAAATGAAGAAAATAATTTCCCGCAATTATGAGCAATTCTGCGTTGATTTAGTTGGGTCATTAATTAGTTTTATTGGAGATGCCCACAAAGAATGTGTTCTCAGCCTCGAGGCTGCTGAACAACAGAGAGAACAGAATAATCTTATGTTATCAAAGTGTTTGCCCACCTGAAATATCACAGTGTGAATTTAGACAGTAAACTTGAGTGCAGCATATTGAGGTGATAAAAAGTACCTGACAGCAGAAGGTGGCTCTCCAGAAGTTTGTCCACAGTATTAGGCTGCTCAGAGCCTTGAAGTTGTAGGAATCCAGGAGAAGACTACACTTTTCCAAAGTGAGTTAGACCAAGTACATTGATATAAGAGAATGCTGATAAATTAGGTAGAGGTGTGATGTTAAATAAAGTACTTCACACTTGCGATTTTACTGAGGAAAATCACTTCAAAGCCTTTGAATTGAAATTTACTGATTCACATGTTATTTGATTTTTTGATCCCTCAGGTCATTGATTTTCTTATTCAAATATATTGCAAGGAATGTAGATAATAAGAATAGATAATAAATACTAGACAATTATAGAATTGTTGATTCTGCAGTGTAGTGATCGGTGTTACAGACTTATTTCAGAAAATCACATAAATAAGTTCTTTCTTTAGATAACAATCCTTTCTTTGTCAGGTAGAACAGTGAGGACATAAAGCAGTCATAGAGCTTTAAGTCAGAAGGTATCTGGGTTGTTTGCGTTTATTTAATAATTGCTGAGAAAGATGAGCGATGCTGGAATCGCACTCTTCTGTCAGGTGTTTGTCTCAGTCACCAGTAGGAAATGCTCAGCATGTTGGAAAAGGTTTATGTAGGATATAAAACATCACCACCACGTGCCTGTTTCAGTTGTTCAGAGTCCAATTAATTTGTGTTGCTGCTTTCACCCTAATGTGTGACTCCGTGTGACTTTTCCACGGAAGTTAATCAGCACTTTAAGCCATTGACAGAGAGGTCACTGATTTGGGGTCCAGTTATATTACTTTACCTTAATAAAATTATAAACTTGTTTTAGGTATAACAAAGTAAATACCTGTTATATTAAGATTTAGTAAGCACTGTTGTTTAGCTGATGGTTTAATGAATAACTTAGGAACATCGTAATACCATATACTTTGTGCTAATACTAACCAACTAAAACTTAAATATTTTATTTCAAATATTAATATATATTTACACATACATGCAAATTTCTTATAGAAGAGAATTATCCCACAAAAATTAATCAATATCCTGATTTGGAAAGTGAGTAAAGACACTTAAAAACACGCCTGCTGTCTTGAGGAGACATTATAATAAATTTACTGAAAAGGCACAACTCTGAATAGATTTTAAGACATCACCCCAAATCATCTAGATCAGCAGTTTTCCTCAGATTATGGCTCCCAGAACAGTAGCAGTAGAATGTAGTTTTTAAAAATTTTATTATTAGAGAGCATTAGAGAAACCATGCAAGATATAGGTACTGGCAAAGACTTCCTAGAAAAGATCCTGGAGGCGCAGGCAGTCAAAGCAAAAATTAACTATTGGGATTGCATCAAATTGAGGAGTTTCTGTACTGCAAAATAAACAATCAGGAGAGTGAAGAGGCAACCGACAGAATGGGAAAACATATTTGCAAACTATGCAACAGATAAAGGGTTAATAACCAGAATCTACAAAGAGATCAAGAAACTCCACAACATCAAAACAAACAACCCACTTAAGAGATGGGCCAAGGACCTCAATAGACATTTTACAAAAGAGGAAATCCAAATGGCCAACAGGCACATGAAAAAATGTTCAAGATCACTCGCAATCAGGGAAATGCAAACCAAAACCACAATGAGGTTTCACCTCACCCCAGTTAGAATGGCTCACATTCAGAAATCTACCAAGAATAGATGCTGGCGGGGATGTGGGGAAAAAGGGACACTAATCCACTGTTGGTGGGAATGCAAACTGGTTAAGCCACTATGGAAGTCAGTCTGGAGATTCCTCAGAAACCTGAATATAACCCTACCATACAACCCAGCCATCCCACTCCTTGGAATTTACCCAAAGGAAATGAAATTGGCAAACAAAAAAGCTATATGCACCTTAATGTTTATTGCAGCTCAATTCACTATAGTTAAGACCTGAAACCAACCCAAATGCCCATCAACAGTAGACTGGATAAACAAATTATGGGACATGTACTCTATAGAATAATATACAGCAGTCACAAACAACGAAACCTGGTCATTTGCAACAAGATGGAGGAATCTGGAAACATCATGCTGAGTGAATTAAGCCAGTCCCAAAGGGACAAACATCATATGTTCTCCCTGATCAGTGACAACTAACTGAGAACTTCAAAGGAAACCTGTTGAAGTGAAATGGACACTATGAGAAATGGTGACTTGATCAGCTCTTGTCTTGACTGTTGATGTATAATTTAATACTTTATCCCTTTTAGTATTTTTTTTTGTTTTGGTTAATACTATTCGTTGAGCTCTGTGGTTAACACACAATTATTCTTGGGTGTTTGGATTTAGCTGAAGAGTTCTCCCTGATCAGCAACAACTAACTGAGCACCAAAGGGGAAACCTGTTGAAGTGAAATGGACACTATGAGAAACAGTCACTTGATCAGCTCTTGCACTGACTGCTGATGTACAATGTAATTCTTTATCCATTTTAGTATTTTTTCTTTGTTATGTTCAGGTACTATTGGTTGAACTCTATAATTAACACACAGTAGTTAGAAACGTGCCAGCGGATTCCAATTCAATCCCATCAAGGTGGCATGTACCAATGCCATCTCACCAGTCCAACTGATCAATTTCAGTCCACAACTGATCATACTGATAGGTCTAAGAGTCAAAGGGATCACACAAACAAGACTAGTGTCTGCTAATACTAACTGATAGAATCAAAAAGGGAGAGAACAATCCATCATGGGAAGTGGGAAACACAGCAGACTCTGAAAATGGCAGATGTCCTAAATAGCACTCTGGCCTCAGAATCAGCCCTTAAGGCATTCAGATATGGCTGAAGAGCCCATGAGAGTATTTTAGGCATGGAAAGCCAAGACACTCTGGGGAAAAAAAAAAAAAAAAAGACCTAAATGAAAGATCTCTGTGAGTGAGATCCCAATGGAAAGAACGGGGCCATCAAAGAAGGAGGTACCTTTTCTCTCCACTTTTACTATGACCCTGTTGGAATAAGATGGAAGTCAGCGAACTCAAAAGGCTTCCATAGCCTTGGAAACTCATGACTAGAGCCTAGGGAGATTCCTGACGCCATATACAAGAGTGTCAAATTGTTAAGTCAACAACAGGAGTCACTGTGTACTTACTTCTCATGTGGGATCTGTCCTTAATGTGTTTTCCAATGTGAAGTAATGCTATAACTAGTACTGAAACAGTATTTTTCACTTTGTGTTTCTGTGTGGGTGCACACTGATGAAATCTTTACTTAATATATACTGAATCAATCTTCTGTATATAAAGATAATTGAAAATGAATCTTGATGTGAATGGAATGGGAGAGGGAGTGGGAGATGGGAGGGGTGTGAGTGGGAGGGAAATTATGGGGGGGAAGCCATTGTAATCCATAAACTGTACTTTGGAAATTTATATTTACTAAATAAAAAATTAAAAAAATATATTTATTTGAGAGGTAGAGTGACAGATAGTGAGAGGGAGAGACAGAGGCAAATGTCTTCTATCAGCTGGTTCACTCCCCAAAAGGCCACAATGACCGAAGCTGTGCAGATCCAGAGCCAGGATCCAGGAGCTTCTTCTGGTCTCTCACTTGGATGCAGGGGCCCAAGCACCTGGGCCATCTTCTACTGCTTTCCCAGGCCACAGCAGAGAGCTGGATTGGAAGTGGATCGGCATGGACCCTAACTGGCAGCTTTACCCGTATGCCATGTGTGGTATATTTACTCAGCCTTTCATTTGCTCAGCATCACACTGTGTTAATAATGTTCATACAAGAATCGAAAATGAATCTTGATGTGATTGGAAGGGGAGAGGGAGCGGGAAAGGGGAGGGTTCAGGGTGGGAGGGAAGTTATGGGGGGGAAACCATTGTAATCCATAAGCTGTACTTTGGAAATTTATATTCATTAAATAAAAGTTAAAAATATAAATAAATAAAAAAATAATGCTCATACAAGTTTTTCAATCCTAGAAAATTAAATTCTTACATATGGAAAATACTTAAGGATTTTAATCCCAACATTGCTCAGGAAAAAAAATCTCAGTTGTTGACATCTGGTGATTCGATTTATGATAGTTATTTTATAAAGCATTATTGGTTAACTTAAACTTAATGTGTAAGTTCTTTTTAAAAATTCATACATTTTTATAGCTGTATCTGATGTTTCTCTAATCTGGCAAAATGCATTTGTAAAGTCATAATGTTGAGAAATTTCTAAACAAGTTGGATTTGAGTTTCAAAGTATGTTGTAAATAGTGACTCTTTAAAAATAAACAGCTCAAAACAAAACCAAGACAGTTTGTCTTGTGATCATGTTTTTAATTCTTTAGGTCCATGATATCTGAGCTCTATAATTTCTACTCTAAAGTGAATAAATGTATCTTTAGAGTGATGAAAACAAATTAATTGATTCCCTTGCTCTTTTCTCTTAGAAAATACCTTCATTTTTCTTTTCTTTTTTGTTTTAAGTAACCACATTCCTATTCTATGCATGACTATGTATGCATGGATACAGCCTTCCTTCCTTGGGAAAAATTTGTCAGTGTAAGCTGTTCCCTCTAAGATTCGGTTCAAGAGTGTTCACTTCAGGTAAATAAAGTACAAGGATTGCTTCTCCTACTCGTAGCAGATGGCATAAAGGTGACAAAAGCAGTTACTCTAATGGAGAGAACGAACAAGAGAACTTTTTGACGAAAATGTTCAGATGATGCCTTTATGAATAAAAATGAATTTTCTTTCCAGGGAGTTTGGCCGTTGGAAAGTAAATAACCTGGCGGTGGAGAGAAGACATTTCCTGGGCTCCCCTCTGCCTCTCGCCCCTGAATTCTTCCGCAACATCAGGCTCCTGGGACGCCGGCCCACCCTGCAGCAAGTCACAGAAAACCTCATCAAGAAGTATGGGACGCATTTCCTGCTGTCTGCCACTCTGGGAGGTAGGGCGCTTTGACGATGTGTATGCCTGCGTGTGCTCGTGCGTGAACTGCATGCATCACACGTGACGCGTGTCTGTGAGTCCGAGTCGCTGCCACTTGAGTGACTGTAGCATTGTCATTCCCTTTCCCAACACATTTATTGAGAGACTTTTAAATGCCTTTCACAGTGTTCACAATAGTTGGATAGATGAACATCACTTAGTCTGTGCTAAAAATTTGCGTATAGCCTAAGAGTATACATTTAATATAGCCCTGGTTATTACCTTCTGTAATGTGAGGTGATATGCAAATTTTGTTTAAAAAATTGAGCATGAAGTGAACACAGGTGGGAGTCACCAATTCTGGGTACAGAGAGCAGGAACGGTTTACTGGAGAAAATACTAAATATCATGCTCTTTTAGTATTTATGATTGTGATGTATGATATGAAAAAGATGAATGAATATCCATTATGACGACTTCTTTGAAAGTAAAGAGTAATAATTGTAGTTCTTTCTCAGCTTAGAAATCTGAAAAATAAAGAAAACTATCATTTAATACTTTAAATTTGTGATTATGGAAATGTGCAATTCTGTATGTCAAATATACTTAGATGGTGTTGGGAGACATAATACACAATAAAGAAACTGACAATTTCCTAAACTTTAGAAATATCCTCAAATTGTATCCATTTCATTTTGCCTGTGACTTCAAGAGACACTGGGCTCTGTGTTCCTTAGAAAGGGGTTCTGCTCTCTCGTCTGATGGAGAGCCGGAATAGATTGCATAGGAAAGCCATGAAAACTGGGAGTCCTGCTCTTCATGAGTTTCTCAGCAGGTGCACGCACACCCACAGCACAGCGGCCGGGAAGAAGCTTGCTCCTGGTGTTCCCACCTTGGAGAATGAGGCTTTGCTTTCCTTACCTACCCGCCTGTCCATCAGCAAATCATGTCATTTTATTACTGCAGAAGGGACGCCTTGCAAACTCTGTGCTCACCTCCTACATCTCTAGATCCAGACACCACCATGCGTTCCCCTGTGCTACTCCCCTGGTCCACCCTCCACACACGTCCTCTGAAGCTCGAGTCAGCCCACATCCCTGTTTTATTTGGATCTCAGAATGCCTTGTTGTGGACCCTAAAAGCCTACACTTGTGGTCTGATGCTAATTGTCCTCCTGGCCCCCTGTGCCTTTCCTCCTGACACTGTGTTTTGGTCACAATGACCTTCACATTTTCTGTTCAAGTGTAGCTTCCTCAGCCGGGTCTTTCCTGACCATCCCAGCAACAGTGCCCAGGAAACTCCTTATTCCCAACCATTTCATGATCTGAATTTGCATTCTTCATAGTGCTGTTTATTGACTTCTTCTCATGTAAAATTGTTTTATTTGCCTACTGGTTTATGTTCTGTTTCCCTTGCACACTTTTTTGGTTTATTTTCGTTGTTGTTTGTAATCAGGGGTACTGACTGCGTCTGTCACAACTTTACTCCACTGGTGATAAAAGCACTTGGTTACATAGGTTCTCATCAAGCATTGGCAAATGAGTAAATAAGTGAAATTAAACTTTGCTTGGAGACTGGGATTGTAGTTTATTGGATAAATTTTAAAGTTTAGTAGTGTCTTCTGAGGATAATTCAGATCTCCCTGAGGAAGGGTACTGAATGAAGGAAATCTAGAGATCCCAGATGGGTCAGTTCTACAAGTAAAGATTCCAATATAGAGACATCAGGACCGAGAAAAGGTGGTGAGCCAGGTGTGGACAGGTCTGGACAGGCGCAGACTGCTGTGTGTATTTTGGAAATGTAAGTCTGCCGTGTAACCCTAAGCAATTAAAGTATAGACCATTTGGACCCAAAAAATAGGTTCACTAGATGGTATTTCTCCATTACTTTCTTACACAAATAAATCATAAGATAATAAAATAAAGAGGTCACATGACCTTGTGTTGTATCTAGATTCATCTCTCTTCTTTCTCTTAACTACCTCTGAAACCTTCAAAACATTTACTTAACTTTTCTGAATTTTAGCTTTTTTTAGTAAAAACGAGGAGGGTGACACAAATGTGACAAACCATGGGATAGAGGAATATAAATTTAGGGAAAAATTGTTCCAAGCTCAGTGCATGGCATAATGTAAACCTGTGATACATTTATAATTATAATTAGGGAAGCATACACATCCTATAAATTGTAAAATAGTGTAATAATTTTGAAAACAGATTCTGTGAAATCTGTGTCTTCTTGACTTAGTAATATTGATATTTCATGCAATAAAGTCTGAAAAAAATGGATTAAATTATTTCTGCAACTTCTGAATATGTTAGGACTTATTACCATTGTAAGAACAGAGCAGAGTACCTAGGAAAATTTCAGAACAAGAAAGAAGAGACTGGAAGAGGAAGGGCAGGAGAGATTGGAAGGTACAAATTGCACCATGGCTTTTTTTTCCCCATAGAATAAAATTACAGTGACTTTTGATTTAATGATTGCATTGTTGTGGTATTATGATTGCCACATTTTGTCTTTCATCATAGTTTTTGTTTTGCAAAGTTTTTAGTTATTTATAAACCATATATCAAAACCTTTTGGGTTTTAATCACTTTTTTCAGCCACCTGTTCCAGTAATAGCAATATACTCTCTGAAAATTATGTTACTTCAGTTATCTAAAAGTCCTGTTCCAGTAGTTTCTTAAGGAGTGGAGTGGAATTAACAAGCTCATTTGCTTTCTAATCTCTGAATATTCCTTGAATTTTGTGTTCATAGTATTTCTACTAAAATTATATTACTTCTCTAAGTGTTACCTATATTTTTCCTTGAGGAATCTCTGTTGGGTGTTGCTACTAATTTAGTTGAAGTGTATTAAATTATTAAATATCTTAAGGATATAAGTTACCTGCAATTAAAATATATATCAGGAATAGTTTCAGGCAATTTTTAAATTATGTCTGTTGTAATTACACTAACCCTCTTTTGTTGCAATAAACCTATAACTTTAGTGTCATATATTTTACGTGACTGAACATGAAATTATAGTCATATTACTTTTTTTAAATTGAGAAATTTGGTGTTTAAATTTAACTTCTCTCTCTCTTCCTCTACTTCTCTCTCTTTCTCTGCCCTCTTGATTGGCTAAGGCCAAGAATTACTATAATACCTGCATACTGTGTACACCACAAATATAAGCAAGATTTTAAAACAAAACGCCATTTATTTTATAAGTGGGTGATTTCTAAGTACCTACATCTCCTGAATTTAAATATTTATCAAACTTAGTTGAGTGTGAAATACTATGAAAATCAAAGTGATGAAAAAGAAACAAATGAAAAATGGCTTTTTCTCAAAAAGTTATTTAGTACATCATATTATTGACTTAGATATAAAACTTTGAAAAGCATTTTTGAAGCCTTTAATGGGATATTTTATGATAGATAAAGCTAGTGATTGCATTATCTTCCTATGGGAAAATAAATTAGAAAGCGCCTTCTTCAATACATATCATTTTCCTCACTTATTTCTTTTTATAGCTTTTTCAGACTATTTATCAATATTGTAATTCTGCTTGCTTATGTTTTGTATAATGTCATCTAAATTCCATCACTGTTTAAATATCTGAAGTAAGATACTCATTTTAAAGAATCAGTCTTGAAAAATATGGCACTTGTTACATATTGATTTCTAGCTATGGAATATATTTCAGGTCTGTTTTTATAATAGGCTTTATTGTAATACAATATATAAAAAGTGTAGAAATAAAACTGTATCTGTATACTGAGTATAGAAATACAAAAAAATAGTGCATAGGATTAAAAAAAAGTGATTTTAGCTGGGTTGAGCTTTCATTTGAGGCAGAAGGACCTCCTCAGATAGCACCAGATCTGACCTCTGGATCAACTGAAAGGGACAAACCACTAAGGAAACCCAAATATTCGTTAATACTTTCATAGAAATGCTACGGGTAATCCTAGATATCAGTCTCACGTGTGCTTCATCCTCAGCACCCAAGATCCTGGCGTCTGTACCCTGTCTGAGAGCGGCAGCCTCTCTCCGGAGCAAGGCAGTCGGCGCAGGCTGGTCTGTTCATCTGTTCTTGGCAGCAGTCCTCGGGAGAGGAAGGGTCAGCCTCCTCTTCCAACTCCTTTCTTTGGTCAGGCATTTCTGTGAATCTACTGTAAATTGGTGGGCAGAGTCAGAAATATGGAGAAAGGGCTGTTTTGGCTAACTACCTTCCCGAGGAGAACAGTACAGGGGGAAGTGTTCTTTTTCTTCATGGAGATTATTTAAAACCAAACATTTGGGCCAGCATTTATTCTAGGAGCCGACAACAAGATACGAAGATTTAGGGCAGGTGTTGTGTGGAACACTGGTTTGAGCTTCTGCTTGGGATGCTGGCATTTTGTATCAGAATTCTGATTCCAATCCTAGCTTTGATTTCCAATCCAATCACAGCTGATGTGCCCTGGAAACAGAAAGTCATGGCTCATGTGCGTGAGACCCTGTCACCTACATGGGGATGGGGAGGCCTGCATTGAGCTCCTGGCTCCTCGCTTGAGACTGGCCCAGCCCTGGTTGTTGTAGGTATTTGGGTGTTAACCAGTGGACTGAATGTCTTTCTCTGCCCCCCACCCCTTCTAACTCTCTCTCTCTGGGTTTCAAATGAATATAAATACATCTTAATATATAAACAGTTATTATTTTAAAGCAACATTTAAGGGTAATATTTATTCTGAGAAATAAAAAAAGGCAATGGCACTGTTTGTGAACATACAGTTTTTAAAGCTGTAATTAAATGTTTAGCAGACATGCAATTTTTAGATGTGAGTTCTCCCTGAAATTATTTTCCAAACAGATTCTTATGAGACTGTATCTTTTAGTTATCATTTCACTAAATGTATGCATTTCTTCATATACTTTGTTTAACTGCAGAGACTATGTCTATCATGTTTTGATGTTAGAAGATAAGATTAAATTTACTATGTTGCTGATCTAAATTAATAGTGCTCCAGGCAACCAAGACATAAGAT